AGCTTCACTAAACAGAACCAACCGCACCTCAGACATGCTGGATGACATCCAACACGACGGCAAGAAAGAACTCCGACTATCCGAGGAGATAACTGTGACGGCCACCATCTTCCAGAATGTAAGACGCTGGGTGATCCGAAGAGTCAACCTGCAATGGAGCAACGAAGAAATTCTGCAACAAATAAGGAAAGAAAACCCCAATGTCAACATCAACCAAGCAGAGAGACTGGGCTCTCAAAACGGCATCCATTGCCAGTGGCGGTGATAACATCGGAAGGAGAAAACATCCCGGATAAAGTCTACCTAGATCAAAGAATGCAAAGACCAGAGCAATACGTGCCACAGGTGATCCAGTGCTCTCGTTGTCAAAAAAGCATGGCACTCCCGGGCCACTTGTGTGAGCGAACATGAAGTATGCCGATACTGTTCACAACACCATGCCTTCAACAATTGCCCGCTGGCAAAGCTGGACACAGACTTTAAGTCACCCAATACGAACAGAAAGTGCGCCAACTGCTACGGCCAGCACAGCACCAGGTACCTGGGGTGCCCCTATCTGCAACAATGTAGAGAAATTGCAACCATTGCCAGATTCCATACGAGGTGGCTCAACTCAAAGTGACATCCAAGCTCTCAGAGACGAGAAAGACGCATCCAAAACCCAACGAGATGAAGACAGAGATGAAATAACAGGCCTGAGAGCTATAATGCAGGCGACTCTTGACACCCAGAAACGGATGACAGCAGAGATGACGAAATTCAAGGAGGACATCATGAATGCACTGGCCACTATCCAGACACAAAAGGAACAACCAACTAAGGCAAGGGAAGACGAGGCGGGCATCAATGATCTGCGGGTTAACCAACAACTTCTCGCGAAAGAAATCGCAATGATCAAGAAGGCACTGGCTGAAACAGAGGAAAAGTTACGAAGAGCATACGAAGAAAACAACAGACTTAACAAGGAACTGCAAGCAACCAACAGAGTGATGGAAGAAAGAGAGAAAGCACGGAAAGAGGCAACAAGAAGGCAGCAAATACAGGGAGCCGAGACCCAGAAAAAGCCGCATCAAACACCAGATAAGAAAACTCAGGCATCGCTGATGAAACAGTTTCCGTTGGCAACAATTGACCAAATTAACCAACGCATCATGGAGATGGAGGACCCGAACTTCTATAACTCAGAACTGCAGGATGATGATGTTTTTTGGTCATCACCAGAGGAACCACATCGACAGCCAAAATTTGAAGTCAAACGAGGTCGACATCGTTACCCCAAACACTAATACCAGATACGACACAACCAAAGCCAAATTACCGAAACCCTATGTAGGAGCAGTACTTTACAACAAGGATACGAGAAAATCGCCAAATAATACCAGACCTCAGCAGTATAGCCATCAGTACCTGCCCAAGTCAATCGACCGCCGGTCCTTATTAGGATAGGCAATCTACTTTCACCGGAAACAACAAACAGCCAAGGAATACGACAATAAATCGATCCAACATCCAATCATTTTGAGCGCAGCACAGGGCCAGCCAGATTACAAAAACAACAGCAAGAGCGGAAACCACAACAAACAGAAAGTGACAACATTAAACACAATCCAGAATCAAATAAGATCGCGACCAGAAAACGTCACCACAAATATAGCTGAAAGGAAAGTGAGCAGAAATGTGAACGGACCTAGCTGAAAGTGGTCAAAGAAAGAGAATTTGAATTTGAATGGTGCAAATTAAATTCCTCATCATCATCAGGTGCCTTGCCGACTGGCATGGGCGATCATACCGGTCCACAGTCGCCGATCTTCAGCAGCATGTATTAGTTCATGTGTTGACCACATTTTGTGCCATGTTATCAAGCCGTCAAGTATGGCTCTGCTGTGTTTTCCTCTGTCTCTTCATTTTTCCTACTGACTTTTCCGGCTGTTACAACATGATCCAGTTTACTTCTTCTCATAAAATGTCCAAAAAATTACGACTGTCTTTTTCTTACGTTTAGGATAAGTTGTCATCGAACACACGCCAGTTTCAGAACACATGGGCTGCTCCTTTTGGCTGTGCACGAAATTATTGTTTTTAAACAAATAATTAAATCATCTTAAGGGTAAACAAAAACTAAATTGAATCAGGTTTGAAATGAAATGAAATGAACTCCAGTCGAAGGTCCAGGTTGTCCCAGAACTTGAGTTTTGCATGCTGGTCCGTTTTGCATATCTAGATTTTTTATACGCATAATGTTGGTTCCTTGCCTCTGAATCAGATGCACTTCGGGTTCAAAGAAATCAGCCATAATTAGTCGTCTTGTACGGCATGCTTATTAAAGAAGCAGTGGGTCAATTCCCCCCACCCCCCACCGCCTTCTTTCCCCCACCGCCACCGTCTGGCACCAGAACCGATATGGGAAAAAGGGGGGGGGGGCATATTTGCAAAACTATGCACGCCATTTTAACAATACAAATAAAGGGTATACACGTAATCAATTATATTTGCAACTAAATGAATGGATAACATAAATGAAATAACAGTATACTTAACAGTGAAACTAAATACACGTCTATGAATAAAAATAAATCGACAAGCAGCTGAGAAACTGTAGTCCACAGAGTCGAAGAAAGACAATATGGCTGTAAATAAATTCCAAAATTCCACGTCTTCAGGCGTATTTAGCATACAGGATTAGATCTATATTTTATAGATCTCGTTGGGTGATGTGGTCAATATCATGCCGGCTGCCTTTACTTTCTATGACATTACCTGGTAGCCTTTGCATCTTGGCGAATTCCTACATTCGGCGTCTGAGTCACACATGGGTTATGAAAAAGTTTCATAATTATAATATCCGGGGTTGGATTCAGTGATTGGCAGTTTGGCAGCATACCGCTGGGCTATTTCTACAACAGTATAAGCGTCGACCATTTAGTGAGCAATGGCAAAATACTGCCATGCATTTCAGGAGCAGAGAAAAAAAGGCATTACAGACTGGGCACATAAGGCTAGCCTTAGATAGTTTAACAGTAGTCTATACTTTCTTTCAATGACAATTTCTGGCATTTGATACCGGGTCGAGGGATGGTCTACGTCACTAAAAAACATGTACACGAATGGAAAGCGATCCCATTTCACAACGCTTGCTAGTGGCAGCTCTACCGCGGTCCCATGCATTAGGGACGTTTTTTGAGTTGCAACGAAACCTGTCTGTCACAAATTTAAACCCAAACTAGAGCCGAGTTTGCGCAGATTACGCATCGATATGAAACACTAAAAAAAAAAAAAAAAAACACAAAACATAATTGATTCGTAAGATGATTTTGTACGTTAAAATATATAATCTTACAAACCCTTTGAGCATTATTGTTAGATTATTAATGCATTATAAATGTGTACGATAAAATACAGATTATGTAATAAAGTTCAGAACAGGAAGTGATAATGCACATCCGAACTATGTCTTATTTTTTTTTTTAAATTGAACTTGGCTTCCTGGGTCGACCCTACCCTATATAGGTAATAAGTAAAGTGCTGGGAAGTAACAGCGGCCGGTGTTTTGTTGACCACATCGGTTCTGATTCGTCTATAAACTGCAGGCCTAGACTATATGTTCGGTAAGCCTGAAGGTAAGGAAAAGGTCTTTTATAATAAATTAGCCACAACATGGGACATATTATTCACTGAAAACAGAAATTTGAATATATTCCTGTCTGTTATTTGTATAATAATTATAAAATAATTATATTTAGTGTTTTATAATTTCGTGTGGGCTTTGAATGAAATCCTTTAAAGTGTGATAGCAGTTACAGTAACTAAGCCATTGTGAATAGGGTCTTTTACAATAAACACTGGGAAATATGACGTCATAGTTTTACATTCAATTACTCACTGTAAACGGCGTCCGTGGCTTATGCGGTGCGAGTCCGACTCGTAACTCCAACGTACCGCGATCGAAACCCACTGCGGGCTGTGTGGATTTGTATCATGGTACGGGGCGTCGCGGGTTGACCCAGCCTAAAATAAGTACCAGGATGTATGTCCTAGGGAAGTAAAGAGGGCCGGCGTAATGCTGACCCCATTACCCACTTAGTACCGATTGGTCTGTAAAAATATGGGTGCTCTTTCCATATGCCCAAAGCGCTTAAAGGCGTAAAAAGGGATATTTACTTTACTTTTACTAACTGTAAACAGCAATTTAAAAATATTAATGTGTGTTATTTTTAGTATAATTATAGTATACAAGTTACTATCATATAAGTACGGTGAGTCGCCATGTCGTAGCGGCTAGACCCTGGCGTGCAGATCAGAAGGTCGTGGGTTCGCTCCCTGTCGGAGCCGGACTTTTTTTCAAAAATGACCTAGTCTCCCATGTCGAAGCAAGCCTCAAGTGAGTCCCAGGTGCAGTCCCGGGAAGTAAAGGAGGCCGGCGTGATGTTGACTACATCAACCATCTTGTACCGATTGGTCTATGTAAATATAGGTCAGCACTATATGCCCTTTACGCATAAAGGCGTGGAAAACGGACCTTAATTTTCATATAATTACAAGGGAGGCTTTACGGGAAAAAGTGTGATATGAATTACAATAATCGAGCCATTGTCTTGTAAATAATATTGTTAAGGTTGTCAAGAGTGCTCTTCACGGTGTAGATAGTTACGGTGATGTCATGATAAAAGTTTAAAGATAACTGTCCTACTTTTGGCGTGCACCAAAGAGAAGCAGTGTTCTGCTATCCGGCTGTTGCTGTTTTTTTTTTTTTTTTTTTTTCAGCAAAGGGGAAAACATATAGAAATACAGAGACCTAAAATTGTAATGCATGCTTGTCAGTTAAGCAAGTGTATGAGTGGAGTAGGACGTTTTAAAACGGCGAGACTTCTCTGACAGACTGTTCGAAGACGGATGAGGCGCGTCGAATAGTGATCCTTGGGTTGTTTGCAGCCATTGAAGGCTTCTCTCTCCACTAAGTTTAAATTGCAGCCATATGTGGGTCAGGACTTCCATTAACATGTTCAGTATGAGTTCATGAGAATTTCATCTCTTGTTCTAGTGCTCCCTGCACCGAAGCTGTTGCCACTAACGTTGCAGAACATCCTCCTGAGCTCCATCCGGAACTTTTGGCCAGAAACGATGTATATGAAGAAGTTAGAGGCGTAGTTGAGATTGGTAACTGCCTGTAAAAACAGAAAAGTATCAATAGTCAACAGTAAATTTTGTGTTACGAATCAGCAAAATAAAGCTAGTGTGATCACACCATGTCTAAAATCCCAAACTGCATTACCTGGGTTGTGGGTATGAATTCTAATAAAACTGGGTTTTACCTCTAGAGTCTACATTACTGACGTTTATACCCTTTTAACCCATGTCATTATCGTAGTCATTACTGACGTTTATATCCTTTTAACCTATGTCATTATTGTAGTCATTACTGACGTTTATATCCTTTTAACCCATGTTATTATCGTAGTCATTACTGATGTTCATATCCTTTTAACTCGTGTCATTATCGTAGTCATTACTGACGTTTATATCCTTTTAACCCATGTCATTATCGTAGTTATTACAATCGTTTATATCCTTCTAGCCCATGTCATTATCGAAGTCATTACTGACGTTCAAATCCTTTTAACTAATGTTATTATCATGGTGATTAAAGCCGTTCATAATATTTCAACATGTTATTATCGTAGTCATTAATGACGCTTATATCCTTTAATCCATGTCATTATCGTAGTCATTACTGACGCTTATATCCTTTAATCCATGTTATTATTGTAGTCTTCTGGGTCAACGTGGCGAATATTCGAGCTTACTGATCTTAGTCGTGGACATTTTTTTGCTTGTGACATTAGTTAGTCGTCGCAATTTCCTCTATGTGTAGACAGAAAGGATACAGTTCCGTTGCCCAGTTGCAGGGTTGAGTCCATAGCGTGACATTGAGCTGCAAAATTCCCTTAGGATGCTTTTCGACTGTGCCAGCCGTGACGAGAGCTACTTTTTTTTAAAGGACCTGCTGATTACCCACGATTCTCTTATAAGGTAAAAGTAAAAACAGAATACTACGGGACCACACCTTTATAACAAGATTACTAAAGAGATTACCTCCTTTTATTTATATATAGTTTTGTGGGGAAGTTTAGATTTTTTTTTTTTTTTTAAAGGCAATCATCATCAGTTTCCACTTCTACCGCTAAGCATATCGGGAAGTAACGGTTTGCGATCTATTTGCTTGATGGACTGCTTTGGCTATTGTCATTACGGTCGACGTAGAAGCTCTTGAGTGTCATTAATCCATATTTTATCAGGACGGCTTTCGCTTCAGATCTTTTAATGTGTAGCGCCAGCGTTAGTAGTTGTTCTGGCTGCAAGTTTATCATATGACCAAAGTAGTATAGCAGCTAGGCAATGGCGCCTATGGAAGCAGTGAAGATCTTGAGGAGCGTGATGATCTTGAGAAGCGTGCGGATCTTGTGGAGTGAGAAAATTGAGGAACGATTGGGTCTAGTGGCGTTAGGAGGCGTCGCCCTCTACAAGGCCAAGAGTCAGATTGTGACCAGTTTTTTCCCTAAGATGGCGCTTGTCGTGTCACCATCTACTAGGTCCCAAGATGGCGGCTTTTCATCTTGTTCACATTGCGTATGCTGTTTATCTTAGGTATACTAACAAGTAAAGATACTTAATAAATCGTGTTACTATTCGAAAGTTTAGGCAAATGTCCCTTTAACTTCTGGGGTTCCCTTTTAGGAGCACACTATAAGATAGTTGTAGTCTGTTAACAGGACAGCACAACAAGCGACTAACATCCGGTGACACACAGTGCCACAAGTCGGGTGCGGATCATCGAGGGACATGTCCCAGAAACCCCATTCAACCCATGAATTTTGAACGGCCCTTGACATCAGCTGAAGTGGGAGAGGGGGGGGGGGTTTACAGTAACAAAAATCACGTCCCATATGAATGCGACACTCAGACAATTGGTGTAAAGAATTTAAAAAAAAGAAATTTGAAAAGATTTTGTTTATACGAGTCATTAAATCAAATGAAAAATAAATGTAAAATAATGAGTAGACTATATATAGTAACATGCAAATAAATTTTAGTATTTCACAGACAATACTTAGCGAACAAGAGAAAATCAATAAAACACAGCTTTATTGTAAAGAATAATGTTATGTCATTTTCATTATTAAAAAGAAGGATAATAATTAGAACATAGGAGACTAATAGCATATTCATATTTTAAAAGACTAAATAGGGGATGGAAATTATTTAGGTTATGTATATGTAACGCGTGGCCGGGAACAGCTAGTATATATATATATATATATATATATATATATATATATATATATATATATATATATATATATATATATATATATTCATATATATATATATATATATATATATATATATATATATATATATATATAAATATATACTAGCTGTACCCGGCCACACGTTGCTGTGGCCCAGAATTGTGAAATAGAGAGGATAGAAAATAGCTTTCAGCTAACAGTGTCTGCAATACCCTCCCCCCTCCCCTCGACCCAGTCATATCTCTTTCACCGAAGGATTGAAAAATCATCCATGGCGAAATTATTCAATTAGAAATAGTTAGGAAATAAGAACTTTAAAATAATATTTTATATTACCAGTACTACTGCAACCACTACCACCACCACCATCACAACAACAACAACAACAACAACAACAACAACAACAACAACAACAACAAAAACTGTCACTACACTCTGTGTAGGTCGGTATAGAAAGAGGAGTTAGCGCCGCATGCTGTCGCCACGGACTATTTAGTTTAAATTTTCCCCTGAAATAGGAAAAAAAACTTGATCACGTAACCACAGTGAAAAGTACACTATACTCACGAATAGCGGAGAAAAAACCCGCATCCGTTGTCTCTCCCTCTCCGAGGGAACGATTTTTAACTGACCTTGGCATCCGTGTCCACCCAAACTAAACTTGACTGTAAGCCGTCTTAGTTAACAGTTTCTGTCATCGCCGAATATTTTTTGATCGAGAAGAGTCGCGGGGAGGCTAATTAGGACCTAACTAAAATCGAATGTCATTGGGCGAAAGGCGCAGATATCGCAGCCTAGTTGTAAACCACAACACAATGTTGGCAACCACCCTTTTAAGGGGAAAAAAACAATTACCACCCAACGGGGAATCGAACACCGGTCACCCGCGTGAAGGATAACATACTTACAACTATACTACCGACGACTGAAGAGTTTTAGGTCAGATATCGCAGCCTAGCTGTAAACCACAACACAACGTGCTAACGGCCCTCTCGAGGGCGAACGAAGATTACCCGTGACATGAACATTGAGCATCACGTCGCCGCTGTCGCAAGCTAGTTGTAAACCCCAAAACCGAAACAGGCGTAGATATCGCAGCCTAGCCATAAACCACAACACAACGTGCCAACCGCCCAGTTAAGGGCTAAAAAATTATATCACCTAGCGGGAAATCGAACGCAGGTCACCCGCATGATAGGCAGAGGAGCTACCAACTACGCTATCAAACCCTCAATCAGAGCGTGGAAATGAAATTATATAATAATGCAAAGTTCAATAAGAGCTCAGCAGTCAAATATGGCCAATTATACAAAAACAAATCCTGGCCGGCAACGAAACAAATAATAATTTGACCGTTGCTGAATCTACGTCGTTCGTGGTTTGTGCGATTTTCTGACAAATAATCACGCTTTGAGTCAAATGCAACGTTGTGTGCAAATTTGAATGCAATCGGTTCAGTAGTTTCCGAGTTTTTAAATAAAAATATCGGAAAATTAACATTTTTATTAATATAGATAACCTTTAGGAAAGTCGACCAGCCCAACAAACTTGTAAATGAAAATTGATCTACTCTTTTTGGGGAAATAACGTGAAACTAACCCACATTTGTAAAGAAAAGAGGTATGAGCTGAATTTCTACTAGGGATCTAGATGAAGATTGATTGAGAACCACTGCAAATACCATTATTTGAGGAGATGGTACCGTTTTGATGATTGACTGAGTGACTCATTCATTCATTCATTCGTGAAACACACAGGCTGATGTAAAAAAAAAAAAAAAAATTACCTGCAAAAAATGCATCCAAGGCAATATTTTCAAAAACGTGTCCGCGGACAGTGTTCCAAAGTTTTGATGAAGTAAATACACTGTAATTGTTAAGATAATCAGCGGCAGCGTCGTGACCAAATACGTGAATGAAATAGCAACCAACATTCTTGTAGTCTTATTGTGTTTTCGCTTTCTTCCTGGGGAGTCAATAAAAACACATCAAGAAGGTGATAAACGTCATTATACAACGACTAACTCTCTGAGGAACACTAACATCGCGGAGGTGCCTACACGCAATGCAATTAATCTTCTTCTTTATGTTAACCGGTTGTAAGCTCCAGCGGAAGGTTCCATTGGCCCACTTCTAGACTGTAGTTTTGCTCCATAATTTGAGTTGTGCTTGTGTATCTGTATTACAAGTCTGGCTCAGTTGTACGCGGACTGTTGGTTTTCTGTTTCTCAAGCAGATGCTCTGTGACTTCAAAGGAAATTGTTTGCTTGTTTGTTTGTTTTAGTATCCAGAAGCCGTGAGTTGTTAACCCTTAGGCTCGGTATTATGGATATCGCAACCTTTCGGCCTTGATTCCATTTTAAATACCGTAAATCTGGAAGAAATGTGGCTTTTCTGCCCACCCCCGGGAGTGAACCCGGACCACAAGGAGTTCGTCACCCGCTCACCGCGCAATCCGGTTTAGCCAACTACGCTAGAGAGACGGGCCTACTTCAAAGGAAATAAATGGGGTCTAAGAAACCACAAAGGGAAATAATTTCGGAATTGCTTGCTTTTTTGCTTGTTGTACCCCAACATGACATTACACCAGTGATAAACACCCGGTGAAGCAAAGTGCCACCATGCGGATGAGGATCACCAATTGAGAGGTCCCAGAAACCCCTTTCAGTTGTTATGGTCACAATTGTGGCCTAGCTATATTCAGGGTCCCCGGCAAAAACCAAGGTGGGGCTTCAAACAACAAACAATTGCTTCCCACAAGGGGATGACTTGAATCAAAATCGGAATTAAATTGGAAATTGTGTCATTAAAAATTAAGATTTCACTTAAAATGCTTTGCAAATTTCCACTTTTGAGGTGTTTTTTTTTTTATGGCTACATTCAAAGCAAAGAGCTACTCAATAATTCCAAGAACTTATCTTGCATTTCGGATGCTGAAAAATTTTGATCATGTCAAGTGCCACGACGGATTGGAAAAAAATAAAAGCAGAAGACATGGTACCAGGAAGGAGAGGCAGGGGCCAACCAACACGAAGATGGGCACAGGATATAAGTGACTCCGTGAGTATGACAGTACATGAGGTAGGAGAGCTAGCGAGATACCGAGTTTCTCTCAGGCAGACTGTGATGAGAGCGACGTTCTGCAAAGGACCTGCTACATGATGATGAACCTTGTGAATGTTTAAAAAATATGTCTGACAACGTGGCACGACTCTGTATACTCACTGATCAGCGCATTGATTACTCGGTCGAACCTGGTTTTATTTTACATTTATTTTCTATCGATCCACTCCTGATGTCATTGTGACTGCTTGGCTGAGATAATTTGATGAAGACATTCATTCTCTTCATCTAGGGGGGCCCTTTCTCTGTTCGGCCTTCTTTCTGATCGTTCAAGTTACAAAGCATCGACTGTCTGTCTTCATTGTGGAATTAAATGTAGGCCGTGGTGTTTGCCAGTGCTCGTGTCGACCTGATTTTAGGTAACCTCACGCATATAAGAACAAAAAAATTTTAATACCCTACAACCATGAATTGTTTACCCTTTGGCTCGGTACTGTGCAGATCGAACCCTTCGGCCTTGATTCCATGATAAATGCCATAAATCTGGGAGAAATATGGCTTTTCTGCCTACCCCCTGGCGTGAACCTGGACCACAAGGAGCTCGTCCCCCAGTCGCGCGCGGTCAGGTTTAACCAACTGAGCTAGCGAGCCGGACATAAGACAGTGTAAGAAAGTATACACAGGGTGTGTTGAAAGAAAAATGTCTGCATGTTGAAAGTAAAGTAAAGGACCCATTTTGACGCCTTTATTTGTAATGGCCATATTGGGCTACACCTATATTTTGTGAGAGTCGCCGTGGTGTAGCGGTTAGACACTCGCCTGTGGATCTTAAGTTCTTGAGTTCGGGTCCTGGGCAGCTAGACTTCTTTTGAAAATGACTTTGGCTCCCTGGTCGACCAGCCGTGAGTGGGTACCAGGTATATCCTGTGAAGTAAACGCACCAAGTGCCGATCGGTCTATACAAATAAAAGTCCAGCCCTATATGCCCAATACGCATGAAAGTGAGGAAATTGGTTCTTTACTATGTTACTGTATTTTATAAACCAATCGACACGTATATGTTTAATTAAGCTTATTAAATCAAATGATATTTTTATGGTTACGGAAATGCATAATTGGAAAAGGAATTCATTTTCACACTGAAAACATACAACGGTACAATAATATTGAGTCCCTTTATTGTATTAGACCTGGTACTGATTTCATCACAGCATAATTGGCTATGCTTTATAAGTGAACTGTTGCATGAATACCGGACTAACATGCTCCATTCATTGTTAAAGTATTTCCGACTCAATCTATATTTATACAGCATTCCGGCCGCCTCTACTTTTCGTGACATTTCCTAATAGTTTTTTTTTTTTTTTTTTTTCACTTAAGCGAATAATAAAAAGCATAGAGGAGATGAATTCAATGTAGTTTCTGTACGTTGAAAGTTGTGTAGCATCTTTTAATATTGTATTGCGTATTGGCAGAGTCTATTTCACTCTCTCCACTAGTATCATTCTTTGCTTGCCTGTTGTAGTCTGCTATTCTCATATATTAAGCTCTATCTGCTGGCTGGATTTGTTCCGTTTTGACCAGATGAACAAACAGTTTGATTCTTCGATGTTCTGTGAAATCGTTTACAGTACTTTGCCCAATATTGTTCTTGGATCTTTGTCTCTTATGCCCTCCACCAGTACTTCTTACCTCACATGTTGCAATCCTGCGTTTTTGTTTGTCTAGTTCTTCCATGACTTCAGAAGTGGCGTTTTTGTTTGTCTAGTTCTTCCATGACTTCAGAAGTGGAGTTATTGTTTGTCTAGTTCTTCCATGACTTCAGAAGTGGAGCTATTTGCTAACTTAAGGTGTTGACCATCTGTATTCAGTTTTCTTTTCTCTGCCAATCCTCCATCATCGTTGGATATACCTTGAGATAACATGTTCTTCTTCTTCTTTTTCTTCAGCATTCCGAGCCCTTGATGTTCATTGCTGCAGTTATCACCCACCTCCATTTATCTCTCTGGTTGGCCTTCTCTTTCCAGTTGGTGACACCAAGCGTGTGCAGGTCTGTCTGGAGATTATCTTGAGATAAAATACTCAACAACCTCAACATCATCATCATGTGCCCTGCCAACTGGCGTAGGCGCTCATGTGTCTGCACACACCATGATACCTGATTGTCTAGAACAGCCCTCTTTATGATATCCCTCCATGCCATCGTTTCAGGACAGTCAGCATAATCTCTCTTGGTCTGCCTATACCCCTTTTTTCCACTGATCTTTCAAGTTGTCACGATGTTTTCAAATGTCTCTCTTCTCATTATGTGGCAAAAGAACAGTGTTTGTCTCTTTCTTATTGTTGTATATAGAGATCTACTTTCTTTAGCTTCTTTCAAGCAATCGTTGTTAGTTACTCTGGCCGTTCAAGATATTCGCAACATTCGTCTCAGAAATCACATCTCTGTTGCTTCCAAATTCTTTATAATTTGTTCACTGACATTCCAGAATTCGCTGCCATGCGGAAACAGGTTCTATGTAACATTTTAGCAGCCTCTTTCTGGCATTAAATGAGAGCATTAAATGAGAGCATAAGATATTTTTCAACAACAACACACATAAAATAACTATTTAAAAAACGTGTCATTGATACTGAATCACTAACCAGTTAGTCTTGTGGATGATGATTCTTCGTTGTGTGTGGCTTTCTCCACGCTAAATATCTGGATTAGAACCCCTGTGTTGCAGATGACAACAACGATGACTGGCGTGATGAACAGCAGCGCAAACTGGTACACATAAATGTGGAGAGGAATGTAGATGTAGTCGTGGTCTGGCGATCCCACACAGTGGTTGTTGTGATTCTCAACCATGACAAACCTGTAAACAGAGGATTCTCATCTATGGTAAATTTGTAGATTACTCTCTACCGTGATTAACATTTAAACAGAGGATTCTCATCTATGGTAAACTTAAAGAATACTCTCTACCGTGATTAACATTAAAACAGAGGATTCTTATCTATGGTAAACTTGAAGATTACTCTCAACCGTGATTAACATTTAAACACGGGATTCTGTACTGCGGTAAATTTGTAGACTATTCTCAACCATAATAAACCTGTTAACAGAGGATTCTCATCTATGGTAAACTTGTGGATTACTCTCAACCGTGATTAACATTTAAACAGGGGATTCTGATCTGCGGTCAATTTGTAGACTATTCTCAACCATGAAAAACCTGTAAACAAAGGATTCTCATCTATGGTAAACTTGTAGTTTACTCTCTAACGTGATTAACATTTAAACAGAGGATTCTGATCTGCGTTAAATTTGTAGACTATTCTCAACCATGATAAACCTGTAAACAGACGATTCTCATCTATAGTAAACTTGTAGATTACTCTCAACCGTGATTAACGTTTAAACAGAGGATTCTGATCTGCGGTAAATTTGTAGACTATTCTCAACCATGATAAACCTGTAAACAAAGGATTATAATTTAAGGTAAAATTGTAGATTATTCTCAATATTTCCCCGTGTGGGTTCTGGTGTCCTTTTATAGGGAAAACAAGAATAGACTCACTGCCCACCCAAAAGCATGTCGTAAGAGTCGACTAATTAGAAGCTTCCTTTGAAGTCAAAAAACATCTGCATGAAGGCAAGGAACCAGAAGTCTGCATACAAATGAGTCAGATCTGTAAAAAAGATGCACATGCAACACTCAGAATCTGAAACAGGACTGCAGTCCAGAAATGGACAAACAACAAGAACTTTCCGCCACAGTTTACAGTTGGTGAATGAGAAGAAGAAGAAGATTTTCAACCTAAATAAACATGTGAGCAAAAGATTCTTATCTATGGTAAACCAGTAACTACCGTACTCTCATAAATGCTAACACTGCAGATTATTCTAAAATAAGCTCATATTTAGCCACAATATGGTCAATATATAGATTCTTCTCAGAATATTTTCAACCAGAAAAACATGTGCCCAAAGTTTTCTTATGTCTGGTAAGCACGTAGATTATTCTCAACCATAATCAGCTGTAACTACGTTGTTGCACACAAGAAAACAGGGGGCAAGAGTAGTAGTAACCTTTATCAATCGTGAACGATATTCTGAAATAAATCTCAAAATAAATTTTTCTCAAACTATGTGAACACATTATTTTTAATTATAATAAATTCGTTAAACATTTAACTGTTCAGAAAAAAAAAAAGGGGGGGGGGGGGTGATCAATGAAGCATTGATGATAGCTAATCAATCAGCTAATACCATGTGACAAGATGGGGTTATTGCTACTATTACTCACCTAAACAAGGTCTTCTTTTGCCACTTATCCCCCATTTAGCATAAGTCCTAAAAAATATATTTAAAACAGCCACGTCCTCTTATCCTTAAGTATCGCTTGCCGCTCACTCACTATCTTTTAACCTCACCCACTTCTCTGGTAGGCTCGAGGGCCCTATTGTGGGGGCCTAGTGTGGGAAAACAAGAATAGATCCACTGCCTTTCCAAAAAGCATGTCGTAAGTGTCGACTAATTGGGAACTTCCTTCGAAGTCAGAGTGCATCTGCCTGAGAGGCAAAGAACCAACAATCTGCATACAATTAAGTTAGATCTGATAAACGGATGTGCACGCAACACTCAAGATCTGGAACAAGACCAAAATCAAGTGGTGGACAGGCAAACAGAACTTTCCCATGGAATGTACAGCCTGTGAACGCGAAGAAGAAGAAGAATCTCCTCCACCAGCTCTCTTCTTAGTGTGACTTTTTTTGTTTGTCTCTTTATTTGTCGCTGTAGGTTCCCCTGCAAAGATGTTCTAGTTGTACTGTTCTCATATTTTCCTACCGAGTGACATTTAAACGTCAGCGTCTTTTCTTCACATGTGTATAATAATAATAATAAGTCGTCCCCATGTGGGATGCAATTTTTCGTTATCTGAAGCCCCACCCTGGCTTCTGACGGGGGCCCTGAATATAGCCGGGCCATAAATTTGGCCCAACGGCTGAATCCACAGGTCACGGGACAATCTAATATTTCAGTGGGTGATAGATAGGTTGAATGCAGTTCGTTGGACCTTGACTGCATGCAGTTGTGGGACCTAGGCTGCACTCCCTCGTGGAACGTAGGTAGGTGGGGTTAGGGCCAGTTCTAGATGTGTGTGTGTGTGTGTGTGTGTGTGTGTGTGGTTAAAAGCATCAGAAAGCTGGGAAACCCAGTCTTACCACCCTCTAAAATGTTTGACTGTCCTGCGACGTCATCTGGGGGGTAGGATATTTTTAAAACTTCTGCAAATTTCCCAGTGCCTTGAAACTAAGCTATGTGCTGTTTCTGTGTTCGCTTGATGAATAATGACAAAAGTTACCTGAACATCTGAGTGCAGGCCAGAAAACTGAACAGTGTAAAGATGATGATGACAGCCCCTCGTTGTTGGCACCACATGTTGCGGCGAAATGGCATGCAGACGACACACAGGCGCTCCATTGCCATGACAGCAATCAGCCACGACGACATCAGGTTGCACACAGCCTCCGCAAACACGAAGAGCTGTTTTGGTGAGGACAAGTGAAAACAAATAGAAAGCCTTAATATATATGTTTCTTTGCCTGCAGTTGCTTGTGTGTATACATGTGCGCTAGCATTAATTAGTGTTTCAGTGTGTATGTAAGTGTGTGCGTATTTATGTCTCTGTTTACACTGTGTGTGTTTGTGTGTGTGTACTTGCGTGCTTCCATATGTGCATATGTGTGTGTGTGTTAAACAGCTGAATTTTAATTTTTTTTTTTTTTTTTTTTTTAGCTTTATCTGACACCAACTGAGACGAGGTGGATAATGAAACCCAAAACAGGCACTGAATAGGAAAATAAATGGACTATAAACTGACAATTTTCGGTACAATATGGACAAGATTGAAAAGGACAGAACAGACTGGGAAAATATACTGCAAGCAATGTATGACGTAAAAACAGCACATCAGTATGATCATGGTGATAACAGCTATGATGATCATGATGCTGACGACGATGATGATGATGATGACGATGACGATGATGATGATAATACCGGGAAAACAAAAACACACCTTGCAGGCATCGTGGGAGAAAGTGTAGAACAATCCAGGTTCTGGTAAACTCTCGTTCAACATGTGCATCTCCTGACTTATGAGAACCAAGCTGTGGTAAAATCATCGAACATTGAAGTCGCTGCAGCATTAACAACGAGCGTTTAACAAAAAATATGGATATTAATTTTCAACATCTACAAAGTTACCCACTTGTGGTTCAGACATTTAGATATATCCTTAATAATTAAAACATGACCTAGCTGTGGTAGAAACATTTGTAATCACAATGAAACTTCCCTTTTCAAACTTCGTTCCTGAAGTTTGTTCGGAAACCATGGTGTTCGATAACTGAAACTATTTTCCAAGTTACAATTCATGTAGGATTGACGAATTCATTCCAGAAATTCAGATAATTATTTATTCAAATAAAACTTTACAGCTGCCCTCTCAGACCACGCCCAGCAGTCCGCTTTATCATTCTACCTGTACCTCCATAGGTTCGCAACCATTATAAGGTACCGCTGCGTCATATGACCAACCATCCTTGTCATTTTTTTGATCTGCCTGTTTAAGTGTTAGTGAAACCATTTATCTGTCAGTGCCGTGACCTAAGCACTGCCATTATGTCCGTGTGAAATGACTCGGAATAATTTATTTGAAGCTATACAATGGCTGAATTTTTTTGTTCACGCTACTATAAATCCTCACAGACACTGACCTTGTTTGTCTACTGCCAGTCCTGTGAGGGTATTATCCATCTGTTTATGAAGTCAGGGGAGACTATTGTGAATCATAGAATTCTGTGAATATGACCTTTCCCGATGGCCGCTGTCAGGGATTTGGAGATCAACGGTTTCAACAGGGATTTATCATTTCGCATTTCCTGTATGGATGAGCTTGCCGGAGCTGAACTAAAGCTGTCATGTAATGTGTTTCTGTCTGCAATCGGAAAGCGCCAGTCATATAGAAGCTAGTGTATACTCTAAAGAAGATAAAGCTTAGTGACTATGATGAATGGTTTTCATTTTCTCTGATGGCCTTCACTGGCAGATTTTATCTACCATTGACAGCCTGTGTGTATTGTTGCGCAGGTAAAAAAAATCGCTTGGCAGTCGGAAATCGAAAAGAGTAGCCTTACGACGCTGCCTGAGTAAAATTTGGAGTTAAAAATCTACCCAAAGTATTTCACGACACTCGTCAGTACTACAGAGCCTGTGCACTGTGCTGAGCTTCTTCGGACTCAAACTTGAGTAAGAAAAAGAGCGGAGCACTTATGGGTTACTGCCCGTGTGCTATGATGTTGTTCCGTTGTTTAAACTTCAAGCTTCAAAATTCAAACTGTGTTATTTTCCAGTCTTGCGCTTACACTCTGGTAGTATATGACTACTGAAGCTAGGGTTTTATCTTAACATTAAAAAATAAAGGAAGAACCCCAAATGTAAAAGTTGATGAACATCAGTTAAAGCAGGCAATACACTTTACATATTTGGAAAACATTTTTCAGAAGACGAAAGAATCAAATTTTTTCAAAATCCACCTTAGACGCAATACAACTAAACAGAGTTATAGGTCAAATGGCAACAATTCTGAAATGTAAACATGTTAAAAATGAACTCAAAAAGAGTGTTGTTCAACACAATATTCTTACCAACGCTGTGCTAATAATGTCAAACATGGACACTGCAGAAAACAGAAGGAAAATAGTCACGACAGAATCGAAATATTTACGTATATTTGCAAGGTGTAACGAGAAAAGATCGACTCAGGAACGATAATTTCAAGAGTTGAGGTAGCACTGAACCAATACTGAGCTGTATCGGTAGAAAACAGATCAAGTTTTTTGGCCACATAACAAGATTGTCAACAGACAGGGCGTCACAAAGAGCAAATATTTACATCGATAACAGAGCAAGAGGTCGACCACGCAGAAATATCGAAGGCATTAAAAAGTAATTTATACGAAGCGAACAGAAGGGCCTGTTCCAGATATCTTTTCCTGCCCTGATACTGCAAGGCCTTTCTTGTGTAGGGAAAAGAACAATAGTAAAAATTTCAGTTTGAATTTGAAACTATCGAGTGTGCCATGTTTTATTCTTATGGAATTCAAGTCACAGTTTTTCACTAGGAATAATTACTTATTATTATGTCTACTATGGCCATCTAGATGTTCATATCCATGTGGTCTGGGGTCATTTATGTAGTTGTGGAAAAGTCAAGCTGATCTAGTGCAACAAGTCTGTGAACCTGCAGATTGCCAAGTGTTTCTTTCTCCTCTTGTTCACCATCAACATGATGTAAATCCAGCACGTTTTGGTTATTCGCCCACTTCTGGACCATCAGACGTGTTTTAGACCTTGAGAATCCGTTTTACAGATCTGGCTTATTTGTTTGCAGATTGTTGGTTCATTGTCTCTCAGGCAGATGAACTCAGACCGATGCACTCCGACTTCTAAATAAACACCATAGTTAGTCGACTTTTACGATATGCTTGTAAGCGAGTCAGTAGATCTAGTCTTTTTCTCCTAAAATGGGCCCCGGTATCCACACAGCGATGCCATGGTTTTAGTCATCTCATCCCAAGGGTGGTGTCGGTTCGTTATTACTGAACCTGTGCTATTACTATCAGATCATCCCGCGAGCCACCAACACGACCGTATGCTTACCTCGACGCGCGTGTTTCTCTAATATGAAATACAATGACACCTCGGAATTCGAACACAGTCCGTTCCGAGACGACGATCAAATTCCAAATCGTTTAATTCCAAGCCATTATTTTCCAATTGAAAAACAGATGGGGAAACTAAGAATTTCTGGGTCCAACAAACGGAGCAATTTTGTTTTCTTCTGTTTATAGAAAAGAATGTGTGATCTACGCAGTAACCAACTTCCATCCACTTATGTGCAGTATACATTGTAGCGGATCATGCCTTTGTGTATAAAGTGGGTGGCGTCGACCAAACATAGAGCTTTATGTTTTGTTTTTAGACAGCACATAATTTGGTTGCTACAGAACGTTGCAACTGTCGCAGTTTTTCACTGAGTGTGGTTTCACTAGGCAGTTTTACATTTAGTAGTTTAGCATTGCTTGCTGATCGGTCGACTCTTCATACCACTGTCGAAATCAACGCTGGACGATCTGCTACCAACTTGCGGCAGCTGGGATCGAATCCCGTACCTCGACATTACAAGGCGCGTTCGCAACACCTAATCCACAGACGAAGACATAGTTTGTACAAAGTAATTTAATTTACTGTACATAGACATTGACAAAATCGAACTCAGTTTGGTCCTGGGCTGTACTTAGACCTTACACACAGTTCACTAAATATACATTTTTTTTACATGGATTTCAAAGACATTACATAGGCTTACATGCAAACTATAATTATAATGTTTAGTATACACAGATCAGATAAATTATGCATAGACTGTATGCAACAATTAATGGAATCCATTTTTCAACATACATACGTTTGTATTTTTTTTTTTATTATTATTTACATGATTGCTATCGTCATTACTCGTTAGCATTATTTCTATAAGTTACTCAAATTTTAAAAGCAGAAGTAGCCTTAGCTAATTCACGCCAAGGCCCTTAGCTATGTCACGTCATGTCACGCCAAGGCCATGGGACAAAAACCGACAAGGCTATTCGACAAATCACGTCAAGGCTATGGGAAAACTCACAAGTCTAAGGGACAAATCACAACAAGGCTATGGGACAACTCACGACAAAGCCATGGGATAACTTACACCCAGACCATTGTGCAAATGACACCAACACCCTGGGACAACTGACGCCAAGACACTGGGACAATTACCAATAAGGCCATGGGATAATTCACGCTAAGGTCATAAGACAACTCACACCAAGGCCATGGGACAGCTCACGACAAGACCATAAGACAACTAACGACAACGCCATGGGACAACTCACGTTGAAGCCAAGGGACACCTCACAACAAGGCTATAGGACACGTCACGACAAGGCTATAGGACACCTCACGACAAGGCTATAGGACACGTCACGAAAAGACCATGGGACAACTCACGACAAGGCTATGGGGCAACTCACTACAAGGCTATGGGACAACTCACACCAAGGCTATGGGGCAACTGACGCAAAAAGTGAGAAAACTCACGCTAGAACCGTTAGCCAAGCTACGCCAATGCCTGCTACCCTTTGTTGCCTACTATCGCTTCCCTCAATTCCGCCCGATTTCATCATTTCTCTTTGTTAGCTCTGTTTTATTTTACAGTCTACTTCATGTCGATTAGCTGAATTTTGCAACTAATGAATTTTTCGACGTATAAAGTAACCAATGTCACGCCAATCCATCCCAGTTCGTTTTTTACGTCAAGATTATTAAGTTGTCTTCCTTTTCTGTTTCGTGCCATGTAAGCACAGATAACATAAATGCCACGGTAAAAAATGTATTACTAGTTACAAATTATTGATGACAAACATTATGAAATACAATTTATTTTATTCCGCTGTATTCGCTATTCTCGGTGTAAAACCTGCCATCCTTTGCC